CCACCTCCAACTCCCAGTCCTCAAATACAACCCAGGGCAGGGAGTTTTTAATGAGTATTTTAACTAATTATCATTATTATTCCTTAATAATAGGCAGGAACGCTGGCATCACATTCCATGGCGCTGGGGCGGGGGACGGAGAGGGGAAAAATTTCCACCGTCTCAGGCGCAAGACCTAAATTTAGCCCGTTTTTACGAGAGGTCTGGCAGGCGGCCGGGAGCCTTAACGAGGCTTTAAAAAGCTCGTCAAGCTGCCCCCCCTGAAATAACTGGTCCCGCTTCGCTGGGAGGAGGACGAGGAAGGGGGCTTCACTCTTCCTCCCCAGCAGGAGCTGGGGGTCAGAGGTTGAGGGGGGGACCCGCGGTGGATGAACGTGAAATCCTCATCTGCTTTCCGATCGGAGCGCAGCTTTCACCAGTCGGCATCGCCTGCCGGCACCATGGAGCTTTTCGGGAGCTTCGTCCGGCCCCGCGGTGAAACCTTGGGGTTCCCGGGTGAGTCGGGGGGAGGGGGGAAACCCCACTTTTAGGGCTGGGAGAGGTAGAGAGGGAGGGGTCGGTGATGCCTCTTCTCCCCCCATGCTGGCACATCCCTGGCTTGGGCAAGAGTTGGAGCCATGGGAGAGGTGTTTAGGGGGGAACGCCGCCAAAATGTGGCTGTGACCCCAAGAGGCGTTTGGGGGGGGACGACACCCCACCAAATCATGGCTGTGACCCCCCCGGCTCTCTGGCAGCTCAGCCCGGCAACACCGGCACGGTGAAGACCTTGGGCAACACCTATCAGTTCACGGTGGATGTCAGCGACTTCGCCCCTGAGGACATCATCGTCACCACATCCAACAACCAGATCGAGGTGCACGCTGAGAAGGTGGGCACTCCCTCCCTTCCCCACTCACCCCCAAAGTGTGAGGGACTCCAAAATCCTCAACCCGGGGACCCCCTAACTCCCACCCGACTTCCTAATGGCCCCAGCCATAACCCTGATGGGATTTAATTCACTATTTCCTCCTCTTTTTGCCCCATATTTTGCAGGAGCAAAGCCCATGAGACCCAATAAACTCATACCCTGTAATCACCCCTCTCTTGGGGCGGGGTGGCAACCGAAAAAAGCACCTTTGTCCCCCCCAGCTGCCACCTGCATCCCGCCCATCCCCTCGGGGAGATAAATATTAGCACCACACACAAGGTGTGACCACCAGCCTCACCCAAGGGCAGGGAACAATGAGCCCCTGTCCTGCCTGCACCGCAAAATAGCCCATTTTCACACGGTTTTGGGTGGGTTTTTTTCCCAGCTGGCTGCGGACGGCACCGTCATGAACACCTTCACCCACAAATGCCAACTGCCTGAAGATGTGGACCCCACGTCAGTGTCGTCCTCGCTGGGGGACGATGGTACGTTGACCATCCGGGCTCAGCGACAGCCCGCCAAGCATGCCGACCACGTCCAGCAAACCTTCCGGACTGAGATCAAGATCTGAGGGGTCAGGGATCCCTTTCCCCTGCCCCCTCTTCTCCTCCTCACTAATTATTTGGGTAATTTGGGAAGGAGGTGGGACACGGGGTAGGGGACGGGAATGCTTGCCCACGGGGTCAGACCCATGCCGAGGAGCCAGCGTGGAGAGATGTATCCTGTCACCCACCAGAGAAACTCTGGAGGGGAGTCCCGGCTCTGGTGGTTTTTAACCAGTGGGGGTTGATGGGGAAGATCTGGCGTGCCAAGAGCCCTGCCAGGAGCGAGGAGCGAGGTTCCCTTCCCCGACCCTCTGCCGGAGCTTGTCTCTGTATATACAGCTTGTGATAAATTATTGAGAATGCCTGACTACTGCCGCCTCAGTTTTTTAATGTTTTCTTGATGCTTTACCCCCAAAAGGGCTGCAGGCTCAGCCCCAAGGGGCATCTCAGTAAGGGGTACTGTGAGCAATTCCTCCTTCCTGACAAAAAACATGAGCGAGGAGCCACCCCAGCTCCCCTCCATGCCCATGGCCCCGTTTATTTCCAGCCCTGGGGTGACTCATTTCTTCCCTGCCACTCTATTTCTGAGCCATTCCCTCAGCTGTTCGGCCGCCGGCCCACCTGGAAGGTCACCAAATCCTCCTCCTCCCCTTGCCCACCCGCACCCATTGCCCTTGGGGAAGCCCTGGGGCAGCAGCATGAGCCAGGATGACGCCCCAGCCTGGCTGCCAAACCCAGGGGTTTCTTTTTGGGAGCCCAAACGCTCCCTTGAATCCCCCCTGAGGGCCTGGCTCCATCTCCTGTGTGTACAAACAACAGCGAGGCGCCTGTTCTGGGTGAGTGGCTGTTTATAGCTACCACACACCACCCGGCTTGTATTGCTGCTCCAGCTCTGAGGTCAGCTCGTCCCCACTTGTCCCCTAACGACTTGTGACTTGCATTAACACACCTGCAGTGTCGGGGACGCACACAAACACAGGCGGCTCTTCCGTCATCTCCTCGAGTGGTTTATCTATTGGCACTGCCAGGCACGCAGTGGACTCCCTGTCGCAGGCCGCTGCGAGCAAAAATGTTTCAAAGTTGTTAAAACCCAACTTGATGGCTATAAAAGCCCCCAGCGCAGCTTAGGAAGTTGGAGCCATGGGGGAGAGGAGTGGGGGCGATGCCTTGTCATTGATCCTCCACGATGGCATGCGTCTCCTCCGCCCCAAAATGCCACCCCTGGGTGCCCAGGGCACCCCAGCCACCTGCTGCGGTCACAGATTGCCATCTAGTGGTGACAGGCTGGCGGGTGGACCTCACCCACGAAACTCCAGTGAAGAGGAAGCAAAAAAGGAAAAAAAACCCAACCCTTTTTCTTCCCAGAGCTGGCTGGTTTGGCACGGAGGAAATGTCCGAGCCAGGGACGGGGCTAAGGGACAGCTCTGAGCCCCAGCGCTGAACAAACCCCGCAGCAGCGTGGCCCCTCTTATGGGTTCATTTTTGGCAGGCAGGCTGGGAGATCCAGCCTTAGGGGGAAAACAGGCTGCTAGGTATAGAGATATGCTTTTGGGGCTGCCTGCTCTCCGGCCCCCTGCCTGCACTTGCCCCCCTCACTGGTACCTTGCAGCACACGCCAGTAAGCAGCTGCCGTCAAAGCCCCTGGGCCCTACACACCCACCTCAGGGGGTTTGCCGGAGCAGAGGTGGGGCAGTTCTTGGCCCGTGCTGGCTTCCCCGGTGCACAACGCTGGGCCCGTTCCCTGTGGGGATACCCGGCTGCCA